AGATTGCGAAAATCCTCTTGTACATAGGTCAGTACAGACGTCTCAGACGTTTAATCTGGACTCTTACAGGTCAGAGGAGGTCACCGACCTAAAATTACCCATATCGACCTATTTCACCTGTGCGACACAACCGTCCCGACCGGTGTAACCTGCAATAAATACCAGTGCAATTTTGCTTAAAACAGGTATCTAGGGTTAAGGCGTTTGCATGAGGAGGTCTGAAAGTACTTCGGATGCCGATCTGGAGTTTGATCTTATTGGGCCCAAAGGATAACAGGTATTTTGAACAGGTCTACCTCAAAATTGGATGCAACGGGGTCATGCACAAGCGTCTTTGCGTTGTAAATCTAGTGTTTCTTGTTTTTTCTTTTTTATCTCTGTAGTCAAATTGACCTCCTCCCCTACCGAGCGTGTCACAATCAGCCAGGCACCCGTGCGAGTATTTAATTGCTGTGGAACGTCTGAGGCGAGCGTAAATGTCAATGGAATGGATACATGCCGTATTGATATATATATATATATATATATATATATATATATATATATATATAATGACCTGTACATATAAACAACACATATGTACATAGATATGAAATGTCTGTAACACATTTTCATTTCATGAGGGCTAGCTCTCCCTTAGCATAACAAAGCAATAACAGAACAGCCTACACAACATGGTTCACTTAAGTGCAAACGATTGTGCATCATTAAACGGTAACATTTGCTGCTGTGCACGGCGATACACTTCTCCCCTTGCAGTCTGAAAGTTTTATTTAAACCCAAATGGGTGAATTCCCTGGTAATTGTAAAAGGACACCGATGCATTTTGAAGCATAAAAAGCACAGAATTCCAAATAGCACTCAAACTTTTGTGTATTTTTGCCGCAAAAGCGTACTGCAAGTCTAGGTGTAAAGTAGCATAAAGACAATACTGAAGTTATTATTAGCGGTGTATATACATTTACAATGCAATACATATACAACATATACGATACAATACATTTGTCCGTGTTCAACTATTGACGGCTGATTTCTAAGTCGCGGGGAGAGGAAAATTATTCATGTAGCAGTTAGCAGGCATTGCTTCTCTACGAACCCGTTTGCTGCAGCGCGCAAAATGCTGCGCAAAAAAACTACATTACCGCGAATGCACACCAATCGTCGTCAAAGACCAACTTTGGTAGAAATGAAGTCAACTGAAGTTATGTTGACCATATTCGTGATGTGGCGACACGGGTTTGTGTAGGTTCGTCCTTCAGAGCACATGTTTTTATATGGCTCGCCGAAGAGAGTCATTTGGCCGTTGGCTAACAGTGTCAGCATGATAACAGGACGCCAAAATTCGTGGAATTGTAGGGCACGACAAAGGTTCTGTCGCGTTATTTCGACAAGGGACCGAAACAGAATGAGCCCGTCAAACCTTCATTACCGCAATAGGACTGTGGTTAGCAGTGCAAACAATAAATTATTTGCAGCCCGCAATCCGGCTCAAAATCTGTCCCAGCAATTTTGTTTTGTTCTGTCATGTGATATATATATATATATATATATATATAGTATATATATATAGATGTATATATGCATACATATATACATATACATTTATACATATATACATCTATAATATATATATATATATATATATATATATATACTTATATTTCATAGTTGACCCAATATTTTAAAGCAACAATGCCGCATAAAAAACAACGTCGTGTCACCCGATTATATTTTCTCATGAGACCATGCAGAGAGGAAAGTCGGGTTTGAAGTAAAACAATGTAGTGTTCGTAGCCTTAAATGAGTGGCAGACAAAAGGTCACTTGGTATAAAATTTTCCACGAGACCAGTGAGTTAGTGGCGACGATATCATGTTCAGGTTGTGGGAATGAGCGTCCTAAGTTGTGTTACCGACAAAAAAGCACGTGATGGGTTTGCACCCCATTATCTTAGTTACCCATCACTTGAGGAAATAATTATGAGGTTGCGGGGATCAAGCTGCCCCGTTGCATCCGCCATGGCGACGTTACTACGCATAAAGATAGAAGAAGATAGTTCTTGTCTGTTGGTCATCTTTTGCCTGCGCTTTTTGCAGCACTCCAGTCGCAAACAAGGGGGGGGACCCCAACATTGGGGAGGGGGCTAACTCAACAGGGGCAGACATTTCGTCTCTCAATGATATACAAAGGGATTTCCTGTCATGTGAAATCTCATCGATGATCAGTTCAGATGGTACCGTGGTGTGATGGCCAGATGTTGGAGCTGCTGCGATCTTGCGAACACACTTAGCTCCCAATGTCCTACTGCTGACCTCTGGTGATGATTGGTCACTGGACTGGAAGATAACCAACCTGACCCACTCATACTTGTCTTAAGGCCATATATTCCACACAACTCGAGACAGACTTGTTTGGGGAGGCTGCAATCTGCCTGAACCAACAATGCCTCTCTCATATCCATATTCACCATGCAAGATGTTCATGTTTTTTAAACAATAAAATAGGAATGTGTGCATGCCAATGCTATTCAGTGTGCGTTAAGACTAGGTTTACAATATGTATTATGCATCTTTATAGCTGTGACGTCATGCGTGCCGGTGAGTTCTATACACTGATTTTGCTTTATGTAACGGTAAAAGCATGCAATATGTGACATTCAGCAATAATATTGCCTGGTGTCCTGCCACAAAATACTTCACTGCCTAGATTTCCTACTGCTGTTCTTTGGAGAGATACTTTTCTGCTTAGATAGTACTTACTTTCTGATAGAGATACTTTCCTGCTTAGATAGTTCTGTGTCAATGTGTTGTTGAATCGTGCCGGTCTGCGTTAATACATGAATATCTTCACGAATAAGATTTCCATGTCCTTACCCGTCCTTCACCTCTCAAACCTCACCGGTTCTCCAACTCTACAATCGCATCTTTACCCGTCCTCTACCTCTATAGCCACACCCTTACGCGTCCTCCACATTTACATCCACATCTTTACCGTCCTCTACCTTCACAACCATATCCGTTGTCGCTCGCAACCAGCGGCATATAGGCTTCACCCACCTGCTCACGTACCCGTTTGATGCCTGGTGGTGTGTATATACAAGCTATGCACGCTCGTGCGACCCGGATATCGGGAATAACACTATGACGACAGCTAACCTGCCGCAGTGCTGGACACGGCTCGTTCTGACATCTCACGTCACCAGACGTTTTCGTGCAGCCGCTGCAGCAGCGCTTGCTCGGCCGCAGGCCATCTCGATCCGGGGAAAAACGTGAGCGCTTGGGGCGACCCGATCCGCCCCGTCGTAGGTGGGCGAAACGGAAGACAGGCGCTTAACCAAGTACGGTATCCAGACAGCCTGCGAAGTCCGTAATTTTTCATAGGATAAAGACATGGAGGTATGCTACAACTATAGGGTTTTGTTGCTGGCTGGCTGTACGATTTTAGACAAATATTTCTCACTGGATCAAGCCATTTGTCGGCACCTTAAACCCTAAGACTTCACATAACCACTCTGTGTTGCTTGTCGCTATTCTAAAGAAATGGTAAGACCACGACGTGATATCAGCCATGTTTGGAGCGCGTCGGAACATTGTGTTGGCACCAGTGCGTTAAACGGCAAATCGTCGCTGATGTCATCTCCAGGAGGTGGCTGTGTTTCTCAAGAGCATGGAGTAACTTCTGGCTTATCGCCGGGACATCCACGCAAGAGGTGGCTGTCAATTCAGACAAGCAGACAAAAGCTGCCTCCGAGTTACTCTGGGATTTCTTCAGTTAGAATCAATAATGCCTACACTGCGGGATACAAGACCCAGTG